AAGAGTTTGAAGGGGACGGAGAGAGAAATCATAGCAAGAACGAAAGTGCTGAGAAAATTAATACCAGTCGATCTCTCCTGGAAGACATCACCGTGTTTCCGGCCGCACCAATTCCTCGAATTGTGGACCAAGCTCCCAACCGTCGAGAAAGTGTGGTAGAAACGCAGAGAGTTGTACCGAGGGATCCAAGCCCCGAACCAGTGGATCAAGGCGAAGAGATCGAGAAGCAAACGGATCAATCCATAGATGTAATGGAATTGGATAACCAAGAAGAAGTCGAACCGATGGAGGAAGAAAGTCAGGAACAAACGAAACAAGGGGATGTAAAATCACAGAAAATTTCTGAAAAACTCAATTCTTCCGTTACTTCTTCATTCGAATTCCCGAAGTTAAATAACCCCGCAGGTGAGGTTCAGAAGTCGGAGGTCTGGCCCGGCCGGGCCCGCCATTTCACTAGTTTCGAAATTTTCAAAAAACACATAAGGGATTTTTATGTGATTTTTTTCGACCAAAAAATTTTTTTTCGAGTTTTTTCGATATTTTTTGATCAGACAGACAAACAATCCGAAATACGAAAAAAAAAATGGAAAAAATTATATTGAGAGCTCAAAATTTGGCTCAAAAATACAGAATTTTTGACACCGGGCCTTCCGGGTCGGGCCCGGGCCTTGAAAATTTCCTCAGGCCCGGAATTTTACCAGTATGGTTTTGAGTGATTGCGAGCTTGGATTTGGCTCGTAGTTTTTGAGAGACTCTTTTAAGGATTTTAAGTGAGTTTGCTTGAATTCTAAGCTTTTATTTGTTGTTTCTTTCTAACTTGTTCATAATAAATCGATTTTGTTACATTTCTTGTTGATTTTCTTCTTTTTTATCACAGGAACTTGATACCCCGGACATACCGCGGGCAATTAGAAAATTGTCCGAATCAGGTTGGGAAATTAGCTTTCTCGGTCGGATCTTGTCAGAAAATCACCGGATCTGGTCGGAAAATAAAAACTTTCCGAATCTGGTTGGAATTTTACTCGAATCTGATTGGAAAATGCGCGTTCCCTAATCTGGTTGGAAAATTGCCCGAAACTGGTTAGAAACCGATTACCAGAGCTGAGTGAACATATGTATAGTTACAAGCCATGAAGCTGCCTCGGCTTGTTTAATATGTATCTTCGTTCAAAGAAGATTGTTTTTTTCAAATACTGGCATCTTGTACAACTACCTGAAAAGCTGGTCAAAAAGAATTATATAGGAAAATCTGATGTCAGGCATACTTGTAACGGGCCGGGCCTGTCATTCCACAAGTTTTGAAATTTTCAAAAAACACAAGGGGGGACCCTTATGTGATTTTTTTCGATAAAAAATTTTTTTCGAGTTTTTTTGATATTTTTTGATCAAACAGACAAACAATCCAAAACAAAAACAAAAAAAATAGAGAAAATCATACTTGTAAAATTCCGGGCTGGTCCGCCAAAGCCCGGGCCTGAGGAAAATTTCAAGGCCCGGGCCCGGCCCGGAAGGCCCTGTAGCAAAAATGTTGTCATTTTGAACCTTTTGAGCTCTCAATACAATTTTCTATATTTTTTTGTGCTTTTTGGATTGTTTGTCTGTTTGATCAAAAAATATCAAAAAAAAACTCGAAAAAAAATCACATAAGGGTCCCCCTTATGTGTTTTTTGAAATTTTCAAAACTTGTGGAATGACAGGCCCGCCGGGCTTCCGAAATTCGGGAAAAAGCCCGGCCCGTTACAAGTATGGAGATAATTTTATTGAGAGGTCCAAATTTGGCTCAAAATGACAAAATTTTTGCTACCGGGCCTTGAAAATTTCCTCAGGCCCGGCCCGGGCCCGGGCATTGGCGGCCGGCCCGGAATTTTACAAGTATGATGTCAGGTGCCAGAAGTAAAACTACCGTAACCTGAAAATATTTTTTTTCCGAATTTTTTTTTGATTTTCGCATGAATATAGTGTAAATTCTGTTTAGTATGATTTCGCATGCTTCGAAAATTCAATCCTTGCATCGGAGACACTGACTCGATTGAGTTTTCATTTTTGGTTTCACTAGCTATGAACAACGACGTTGCAAACTGCTCCAAATCTGGTTCTCAAAAAATCAGCTATTTTATTTAATTCTGGAATGAATTAGTTTCAATTTTCTAGTCACAATGAGTTTGAGTTTTGAACAACTGCAGGATTCAGTGAAACTATGTTCGTTGTTTGAAGGAGCATTTCAGTTGAAACCAAGCATTTTCAGTATGTATAGCAGCCACAGCTACGGCCACTGGGGTTGCTTTCTCGTTAGGATGTACTGCTGGACATCGGAACATTTTCAGAAGACGAGGATCAAAGTCTAGAAAATCGATGAGATCTAAACGAGAAAGAAGAGAAAAAAGTGAGAGATCACATAGGAAATCGAGAAGATCGACAAGAGAGAACGATGATTTGAAGAAAAAGAAAAGTAAAATAAGCCAAATAAGTATGAAAAGTTCCCGAAGTAAGAGAAACAAGAAGGATCGGAGCAAACGGGGAAGTTCGAGAAGCAAAAGTAAGAAGACAGTTTCTGCTCGGAAACTAGATGAGAAGAAAGAAGGATCCAAGAGAGGAAGTTCGCGAAGTAAGAACCAAATCAGTTCCCGTCGAGTGGAAGGATCGAATCGTGATGGATCCAGAAGAGGAAGTGTTCGAAGTGAGAAGAAACTCGAGAAAAAGCAAAGTTCTAGAAGCAACAAAGAAAAAAATGGAAGTGTCAAAAGTCAGAAGTACTCTCCTTTGAATAAGAAGAAGAGCAATAAAAGTAATAAAAAGGAGAAATCAAAGAAAGGCTCTCAAAAAAGCGTCAAGAAAGCTGAATCTGTAAAGGAAATCAAGTCAGATGAAGCTAAAACACCACCATATGCTGCTCCTTCAAATGATGTTCGTTCTGTGTACTTGGACACTGGAAAATCTTCCTATTCAACTCCAAATCCCTCGTCCGTCAATCCCAATTCTATTTATGTAAACGATCCGAAACCAGTGAAGAGTGTACGTAGTGATTTGGCTGATTCAGTGACTCCAGAAGATAAAAAGAAGACGATGAGAAGTACAGTATCTCCAGATGGTGAATCAAAGAAGCGTAGTAATAAGGCTGTCACTCCAAACAAGAGTAAGAAATCACAGAAAGATTCAAAACGTTCAAACAGGTCTGAAGTCAACAATAGTGTTAGAACGAAAACTTCAAAGAATGTGTCCAAGAAAACTGTGGAGTCTCGGAAGTCCAAAAGAAAGTGAGAAGTGAGTTTCGTACTGGAGACAAAAATTAAAGAAACTTAAATTCCAGATTTCCACTTCCTTCCAAGATCTCCGCTTTCTTCAAACCGTATATTCTTGAATTCTATCCTCCAATTCTCAATGAATATTCTTTCTCTAACCTCATAAATGTTGACTTTCAAAATGCAAAAATATCTGTAGCTTCCTAGAAAATATGTTTTAAAAAATAGGCCTCATATTTTTGTTGTCTAAAAAAATCCATTGAAATAGATTTATTATGTTCAAAAATTAGACATTTTGCAAACAACAATGACCCGTTGAATTTTAAAAAATTCGATTGAAAAATTTGGTGTATAAAAGAAGAGCTGTAAAAGAAAGCGATGATTGGTGGCACTGAGAATAGAAAAAGTTAAAGAATGGATGAAAAGAGATGCATCCGGGTAAAGGTAATAATTGAAAACCGGTCCGTAACAATTGAGGATCAATTAGAAATTAAAAAACAAGGGGATGATCTTAAAGGAGAAACTGAGAAGATGAGTTAATTCAGTCGTCATTGACGGTAACCAGTGGAGCATGTGAATCCTGATGTCTTGGAGCCGTTTGGTCCGATATCGTTGAATTTGTTCTCTTTACAATTGCTGCTTCGGCTGGCTGATCAATCGAAGGAACCAGAATTGAGACCATCTGAAAAAAATACATTTATTTTTTTTGAAGTGCGAATTGGAGTCGTAAATCAGGAAATTCTATAAGACCCTAAATATATCCTAATTGTAAACCCTAAGTTCCCAGCCTCATTGAATTCCAATACACCGTAACTTCAATTGAGTGCTACCCAAACTATCAACTTTGAGCTCAATTATCTCGATTGCTGTGAGAGATGTCAAGAATGTGTCAACTAACCAAATATTGGTGATGTTATGATAAAAAATTTATCAGTTGAACACCTTTTGAATCTTTCCCAGGAATCGAGATAGTTGAGCTCAAAGTTGGGCGAGCTTCAACAAGATAAAGTAGGTTACGGTACGTGTGCACGTTATGTTCTAAAAATTTCAATAAATCTGTTTTGAAACGTTAACTTAAAAAATTGAAATTCGAATGAAATCTGTTATTTCTACTCGATTGAAACTCACTGCGAATACGCACTAAATTAGCTTGAAAAAGGGCTCGAAGAAGAAGATAAAAGAAGAATAAAAGAAGAAAGAATGCCCAACACTTATAGAACAACGGACGAAATAACCGCTCAACGATTGGACGATGGAAGTAATGTTAGTGGAAAACACTTGCAACTTTAACCATTACATTTTATTCAGACCCGACTCAGTCTTCACAAAATGGGATTATTCGCATCGGGAGCATTTTCGAATGTCTACCGAGGATTCGCTGTCACTCCATCGAACCATCAAATGGAGATTGTGATCAAAAAGACTTGGCCAAGAAACAGTTCAGCTCCGATGGAAGTGAAGATTCTGGCTATTTTGGGAAAGCTGAAGCACAAAAACATCGTTCGACTGTTGTACAGTTATCAGAAACAGATTGAAGGTCGTAACCTTTTGGGACTGATTTTTGAATGCGTCCCATCAAATCTTCATCAATTCTTGAAAGACAACAATCGAAGGATCGACATCGTTGAAGTGAAACTGATCACGTGGCAACTATTCCGTGGTCAGGCACATCTTCAAAAAAATGATGTTTGCCATCGAGACATCAAGCCTCAGAATCTTCTATACGACTCGGCAACTGGCCTTCTAAAGATTTCGGACTATGGATCTTCTGCAATCCAAGCATCCAGATCTACTCAACAGAGCTACCACGTCACAAGATACTATAGACCACCCGAGTTGTTGCTTGGTTCAAGAAACTACGGTTGTGAAATCGGTAGTATAGAAATTGCCTAGAGCTTATTTATTTTCAAAATTCCAGACATTTGGCATGTGGATGTGTGTTCGGAGAACTCCTGAAAGGCGGTATTTTTTTGGCAGGAAAGTCAGCTATCAATCAGGCAGAAGTCATTTTTGATGCTCTGGGTATTCCAACAAAAGATGAATTGAGCATGATGAGAGTTAGCAGCACAAAATACAGAGAGATTGTTCAAATGTATGAACCTGATCCCCTGAGAAAAACTACGGATTTCAACTGGCTCTACGAACAGAATTCATCGAATCAAAGAGAAAGACGGACTACTGTATTCAATGATGTAACAATTAATTATTGATGAAATGGGATAATTTGATTTCGATTTTCAGAAAATTGATTCATCTGACATGAAACAGGCCACCGAACTTCTTCGTCTCATACTGGTGTACAACCCAAAGCAACGATTGGCAGGACTAGATTTGCTCACCAATCCATATTTTTCTGATGTAGGGGAATTTTGGGAAAAGCATTTTAAATAGAAAATTCAGCTGTTCAAAAGTAGCACTCTCCGCAATAATCGCCAAGTGATTGGCTGTTTGACAAAGAATGATTTGAGAGAAGTGGAAAAAGGAGATACGTCACAGACACACGAAACAACTGAATGAGCTGATCTTGATTCTCTTGATTCTCTTGATTCTTCAATAAATATTCATATTGTAATCTATTTTTTTCGCTTTCAAATTTTCTCAAAGACTTACCGATTCCCTGTATATCTTGACTCTATGTGAAGGAATATCTCTGTAAGCCTGTAGATCAGTATCATCTGTTCCAATCGATCCATCGTCATCGACTGAAACTCCACTTATACTGTCTCTACGCATTTTTACAGGAGCATAGTCTGGACTATCTCTCATTATTGTTCTCTGTGATCCACTATCCGTCCGCCGCATTGATCTCGGTTGTAGGACGCACCAGTAGCAGACCACGCACATCAGGATGAGCAAACAGAGTAAAACGGTTAGGAAGAGAGAATAGAGAATCCAACGAGCAGATACTACAAGAGAATATCAAATGTAGAGAATACATATGTTGATTGACTTACATAATTGCTCTGGCTCTATGATGTCAGCAGTGAAATCAACGATTTCTCCATGTGGGGAAGATTCCAGAACTGGAGATTGCTCGGATTCCGAACCGAAAATTGGCTTTTCCCAGAGAGAATCATCAAGGATTCCTGTTTTTGAGAGATCCGGAGCGTGAATTTGGTATTGTAAGAGCTGTGAGTGTATATCGACTTGATGGATTAGGTTGGAAGGATGAAGAACCGCAAATTGTTCGTCATATTCGTAAGAGAGTCCGAAATCTGAAAACAGAAAGAAGTTACGAAGTTTTGAGTTATAATTTTTACCATGAACAATAACAGAACTCCATTCGTCGGTTGTCTCTGCAGCTGACACTGATACATTGTTCAATACAAGTTTTCCAATATCAGAGACCACAGTATGATAACCATCAATCTGGAAAAATATGAAATACAGAATATTACAAAAAACCAGAATCCCTACATAAAGGTCATATTTCTTTGCAGAATGTCTTGTTCCCATTGGAGTACGTCTCTGGAGTTGAAGAAGATGAACACGATCATCCAGGAGATCGAGATGACCTGAAAGATCATAATCAAGATTTATCATGCCGTCGAAAGAAACTTACGTGATGCAGAATCTTGGCCATGAAGTTGCACGGTAACAGTTCCTTCGGTATCCACTTTGATATTGAATCTGAATAAAGTTTCCATTTTTAAAGTCCAATAAATGAAGTAAACACTCTAATATAATGTCAACTCTGAGCCCATACATCCTGTAACAGCTTTCAGAAGGTAGTAAACTAAAAATGTTACTGATAATTTGATAAACATTTTATCCGTAGTCTCCATCGAAAATTCAAATGGCCCAAATATGGGCGTGTCACTGTTTACGGTATATTATTCTTACAATGTTTCTCTATGTGAATTGAATTCCACAATCGTATGAGCTTCATTAATATGTTTTGGGAGAGCAAATTTAATCCAAACTTTGCTCAAAACAGCTTTTGTATTTTGAACATCTAGCACAACTTGCTTTTGAGATAAGAATGCGGTAGAAAGAGCCACAGGTGTGGAGTCTGAAACGATTTTTTGAACCATCTGAGCTTATTTCTTTTCAAAAACCAACCTCTTTTCTTCTCGCACGTCCCTTGGGAAGTATTAAATTGCAATTCATCAGCACAGTCACAGATCATTGGAGAGGACTGAAGCGGACCTTGTGAACGACATCTCGTCTTCTCTGAACATGTGGGATTACATTTTTGGCAATCCCTTTTAACCGCAAATGCATTTGAATCATATTCCTCGATCAGCATTGCGTGTTTCTGAGCATCGAAACTCGTAGTGAGATCCATTTTGGCTCCTCGAATGAAAACATCCTTGACACATCCTCTGAGCACTGGCGCCTTTTCTCTAGTATTCTCAAAATATTTCTGTTCGGCTTCTGCTTTGTACAATCCACGCCGTTTCTTCTCGTGCCATATTCCGCCGATGAATAATCCTGCGCCTTGAGATATCTGTGGAATCGCGTAGACCTCTGCCAAACTGATATTTGGAGATTGTTGGAGGCGACAAATTGAAGAATCAGTAGCCAAATGAATTTCATCTCCGCCACCCCAAAGTATCGTTTGAATCCATTCATCTCTTCCGAATCCGCGAGCATTTCTAATCGAACATCCAGAACATTCTTCATCTTCTGCGTGTTTACAATAAACTGCAGATATCAAATCATAATGATAATAGACTTGAAGGCGTCCCTTTCCATTGAAATTTTGCCAGTAACCGAAGAAAATCAAACCAACATCTGAGTCTGATTTGAAGCTCGTGGAAATGGCAGGAATTGCGGAACCACTAGAATCCACATCGAAAGAATCTTCGAAATGAAAGAAAGACAGTCTATCCAAATCTCTTCTCAAACTGTACGATCCTTCTTCGTCTTCATCACATTTACTGAGTCCATCGAACGTTCCACTCAACTTTGAGCATCCACATCCGACACACATTGTCCGAGTATTCACAGTTCTGAAAGAACATTCCTCAAATGATTTCTACCACAATTCTAAACTCACTCCTGTAATCTTTTCTGTGGTTTGTCGAAACTGTACATGCAGTCATCATTGGTGTCAGTTGGATCTATCAATTGAATATTACCATTCACAGCAATGGTCAGTGTAATCGTTCTGAAGAATTAAATTGATATTTTAATCTTTGATAAATGTATTTACTTGTCAGTATCATCATTGATGGCCTTTGGTAACTCGATCTCTGGGAAATCATCAATTTTCAGATAGTGACTATCTGGTTCACTATGTTTGACAATTGCAGTGTGCCACGTGGCATCTGACAAATGACCAACTGCGACTGGTGCACTTCCATCTTCTCGAATGAAGAAATCATTTTCCAGACGAACTTCTGATGACATATCTCCGCATCGAAGTGAGAAAAGTGTTTGATTAGTCGTATCAGTTTTGAATGCAAATGCATAGCTCCATTCGAGATTTGCCTCCAAATCAACCTCAAATTTCCCTCGAACAAGACATTCCGGTTGTGTGTAATGCTTGCAAATAAGTCGTGTCGTGGTGACAGTTGGATTAAATTCATAATCATCTTCGTCTGGAATCAAATGACGAACACCGGCAAAAGAATCGTCAAACAGGAAATCCTGATGGTCCTCTCCACTGTACTCAATTTTAGTTGTTTCATTGAGCAGAGAAACCACTTTAATGCCACCTCTTCCTGTTTCTGGAGTATTCTTCCAGTTAACAGTCAGAGTTTGAGTGCATTGAGATCGCCTCACAATTTCTCGGAGATGATACAAATCTGGTACTCTGAAACAGGGACATTGTTATATGAAAAAATATTAGTTATCTCACTGAAAGTTGACCGATTTCTTTGTTAGAACATGGTGAGAATTTTGCAGTGCAGAATGCACTTCTGTGAATGCAACGTCATTTTCAAATATACATTGGACATTTGATGGAATTGATGAATGGTGTCCAGCAATTGGAAGAACAGAACTTGAGTGAATACCAGCGAGATAATGATTATAACATGAGAAACGAGATTGAATATCACCTGAAAGTCGCAATAGTGATTTTTGGGACTTCTTTTAAAAATTCTGATATCATGCTTGTATAAAAAATCGGAGATGCGAAGGAGAAAAGCTTGTGGGCGTGGCCAACGGTCCCCTTAGCGAGAACCACAGTAACCTAAAATTTTCGACCCTTTTTTCTCGATTACTTTTGCCTTTTGACAACTTTAAAACTTTCAAAAAAGTCGGAAATCTAAATCTTTCTAAATCGAAAGAATTGGCGGAAAACGGACGAAAAATGAGAAAAAAAAAATTGTTTTTTGAAAATTACGGTAGTCCGGCTGTGGCTGTGGCTGTGGCCCACCAGAGTCTCTCTCCACAACACCACTTTTATTTGTACCAGAATAATATAAAAATTTTGAAAAAAACTTACAATTAACAAATACAGCTAATAACAAAAGAGCAATGAGGCGTAATATCAAATTGTCTTTCCGCCTCTCGCTCATTTTTGGTGAGCAAAAAAGGAGAAAAGTTGAAGAAAGAAGATGAACCTGAAAAGGCGGTAAATTGAAGTTGAGATAAAAGAGACAAAAGATTTCTCCGGGGAGAAAAAAGAGATGAAATGTTTCGATATACATAACGGAAGGATAATCGTGCGTTTCCGGACGAACTCGGGGAGCCAGGGACCGAATATTGAAGGAAGGCACGGAAGCGGAACGGAATGAGCAAAAAAATAGAATTTGTTGTTGAGAATATTGAGGTCAAGTGAAAACTATCTTTAACATTTCTTGTCTTTTGATATGTGATGGGTCTCAATATAAAGAGAAAAGAGGTCTAACAAAAAAAGAGAAAGGCTTAGTGGTTCTTTTGGAAAAAAGAGCTAAAAAAGAAGAGGTTATGTCACGAAACGTTTAATAAATCATTGGAATCGGTAAGGGTAGGTCAGGACAAAAAAGGGTTAGAAAAGTTATGATGTGAAGAAAAAAAAAATAGCTGAATGAACTCCAATGTTTTGAATAGAATAAAAAAGAAGGAGAAATCGGGGAATAGAGCAAGAATTCGATTGTGGGAAAATAGTGATTTGAGAGAAAAGAAACGGGATAGATGTATAGAAAAATGGATTTATGTACAAATGGAGAAAAAATGGGAAGGAATACTTTAAGAGGTCGAATAAAGGATTCAACAGGAGGAAAGGGAAAGAAGGGGTCAACAAAAACAAATTTCAGAATAAGCAAGCTCATGGAAAACGTTCTGAAAAAAAAAGTGGATTCAAGAGTGAAATCCTTTTCGAAAATTCGATTACCGTATTTCCTCTAATAGAGGCCTACCTCTAATAGAAGCCTACCCCGTGAGGTGTTTCGAATAATAGAAACTCACCCTCTAATAAAAGTCCATGGGCTTCTATTAGAGGAAATAGGGTAATTCAAAACTCCAGAATTTTGGAACTGTGAACTTAGAACTCGGCAATTCCGGAATTTCGAGCTTTGAAATCTCAGAACTTCATAAAATCGGAATTTAGGGATTTAGAATTGCAGAATGAAAACTTCCAATTTTCCAAAACACTGAATTTCAGAATTTATAGCTTCCGAATTGTCAAACTTCTGGATTTTTGATTTAAAATTTAAAAATAATCATTGAAAAATATAAGCCCACCCTCTAATTGAAGCCCACCTCTAATAGAAGCCCACCCTGAGAAAGAGGTTGAAAAATAGAAGCCCATGGGTTTCTATTAGAGGAAATATGGTTTATTCAAATTTCAAATACCGTAAAACCTGTATTAGAAGGGCAGGTCTTTCTACTGTATTGGTTTTTTTTTCGAAAATTTTGATCGAAAAATTTGACAACTTTTGATGAAGACCCGTCTACTTTCCAAGCCCCTCTCAGAGAGCCCTTCTATTAAAGGGGACTTTCTAATACAGGTTTTACGGTATGTAATGGATAATATAAATACGAGAAAAACGCATCAATTCCTTGATAGTAAATTTTAGGTTCTGAGAGAATCAACAATTCAGAAAAAAAGAAACAGAAAGAAACGTTCCTCAAGAAAAAATGAACAAGTTTTCAATGTTTCTTTTTATGGAGAATATTTTTCAATGCACAGTGACTCATCCTTTTTTTGTGTATGGGATGGAAACGAAATGATCGTCCTTCGAACTATTCGAACGATTTGTGAAAAGAGAGGGAAACATGGAAGAAAAGAAAAGAGGCGGAGGAATATTGGAATGCTCTTTTCTCTTTTGGAATCTCTGTATATGTCATTTTGAAGTTTTAATTATGGAGAGTAGTAGTACATATGTGAATGATAAGTGTGAAAAGAGGGAAAGAATAGAATAGAAGAAATAGCATAAGAGATGAAGAGATTTAGAGAAAAGAGGAAAGACAATAACAGCAAAAAGGGAAGGTTAAGTTCGTGGAAGAAAGAGGGAAAAAGAAGGAGCAACAGGCTTGTTGCATCTCAGTTTTGATGTGAATAAATTAGGATTAAAAGTGAAGAGAAAGACAAAGTGGTAAGGCATTCAGAATGGGAATCAGTGATCCCAGGGGAGAAGTAGAATAAGTAGAAGGAGTGATTTCATATTGAAATCCTATTGTTCAAGTTGTTTGAACGAGTGATTAGGCGCTGATATGGACAAAACAAACAAATATTTAGGCGTCTTTTGAATTGTTGCTTAATCGACAAAAAATATGAGGGCTTCGAAAAATGACCGACTCAAAAAATTTCGATAAAAATTGGACAGTTGGGAAGTTATGAAATTAAAAAGGAAAGAATGGTGGCATTTTATGAAATTCGGGCACCTCAAACAAAGTTTTAATATAATTTATTTGATAACTTCGAACAATAAAAAAAGATAGAATCTAGCTCAACAATTAAAAATGATTTCAGCTAGTGCAGTTCCTCTTGAGAAGATAACGATGAACTTCAATTTAGGCTTGTTGTAAAGAAAAAAGGAAATTTCGAACGCTGTCAACATTTCAAATGTGTTTCCTACTTTTCACAATTATCGTAAAACCTGTAATAGAAGGGCCCCTACCTTCTAAGTTTGGGCCAATTTTTCTCGGTTTCTGTCGAAGATATGAAAAAGTTATCTACAGATAATAGGGAGGTCCTTCTATTACAGGTTTTACTATATTTACACTTTGATCTTTCGTAGACATTTATGCCAACAATCTAACGAGAAAACGCCATAATTAAAAAGTACGAATTCAAATTTCTCTATGTGGTAAAACCTCTAATACAGTGACACCATGACTGTCAACTTTTAAACAATATGTATCGGTTCTGGTGAAAGATATTATTATAAATTAGATATTAGAAAATCTTAAATTGTAAACCTATTTTGGGCGTTTTTGATATCTTTCACAGAAGCCGAGAACACTTGGCTCAAAGTTTACGATCATGCTACAGAGATTGGCTCAAACCAGAAAATTCAAAATCAATCGAAAATGTTGATCAGTGGATCCTTTCACTGATTTTTTTAAAATTCTGAATAGGAGACCTTGACGCATCAACTCGGCTGATATCTATTCGAATGTGTTCATGGCAACAGAGAAAACACACAAGTGGAAGACGTTTTTTTTCCTCAAAGTCCATTCAAAAAAGTGAAAGTAGCAAGTTGTGTAATTAATGAAGAATAGTTGAAGGAGGCTAAAAGTAACGCTTGATGCCAAAAGTGCAAACAGAGGAGCGCTCCGAGCCTCTCCCTAGCCGAGCAGCGGTGGCCCAGAGAAGAAGCAACGTTTTCGAAAAGTGTGTCAACAGTTTAGCAAATAGATTTGGCACTACTAAGTACTTGGCAAACAGTATATCACCTATAGGGATGATACCACGGAGCACCTAGAAAAGAGAAGGCGGATTACATATGGAATTCGGATGGGAGAGTGGGAGTTGGACGCGGATGAGAAAACATACAATTAACAAGGAAAAAACCAAATGTAAACAACTGAAAACTTCATCAATAGATTGGAGGTTCGAGTGATAAGAGAAGAGGAAGACGCTCTGGAAGAGTGAGAGACAATGCATGTACAAATATGTTTATGATTTCGGATGGTGTGAAAATCGAAGAAGAGGGAGAGAAGGAAAGAAAGAGAACGACTCGTAAAATGGTTTTGAAGAGAACAATATTGTGAGAAAATGGTATTTTTTTGAATTCAAATTTTCAAAAGCTCTACAATATCTTCGCAACTAGAAATCAGAGATGTCCGGAATAGGTTCGAGAAACGGAATCCAGAGCAGAAAAACGCGGAATCCGGAATCCGAGAATCTCTGCTAGAAATTCAACCTCCAAATGATCGAGTTTTAAATACCAAAATGAAAAAAGTAGTGGCTAAACTTTTGATATCAGCAAACGAAATAATGCAACAAAGACATCAACTAAATACTGATGAATTTCTCAAATTCAAAACCTTTTTCCTCCGAAACATGTGAGCCAATTTAGGAAAAGTGTTAGAAAGCAAACGAGAGAGATCGAGGGGCGTGGGAGCGGAAAGCCCGACCAAAAATTGCAGCTAATTTGGTATAAATTGAGAATAGACACGGGCCCAGAACCTCTAACAAACTATGCATTTCGCTTCGTTTTTTGTCGTTGTTTTAAGAGTTTCTCAATTAGGACAAACATGCATTTCTATTTGTAAAGAATAGTGGGGTTGAGTAAATGAATAGAAGTCGGGGAAGAAGGAGTGACATCACATTCTCTAAAATACAAAAAAGGTCTCATTTCATTATGGCGTAACTATCGAAGAGAGTCACAAAAAGAGCAGGTAATAATAAAAGAGATATTAACTGCAATCTTGATTCAGGTGACTCCACGGGGGAGTTGGATGGAAGGGAGTCTTTTAAGTGCCATATGAATTATTTGAATGAGGTTGTGGACGACAGGAGGTGGAGAAAAGTCGGGAAGAGAACGGGAAATGAGCCATCGGTGAGATTTATTAGCGATTGAAATTATTTTCGAACCTAGACTGTTGTGTAGGTTGACTATAGAGATAGAGAAATAGGAGCACCAAATTAAATGATTGGGTTACTGTAGAAATAGAACCTCTACCTCCAACTAGATTTAACAAAAATTTGATCTCGAAATACAAACGTTCGTATGGAAAGACAAACAAAAAAGGTCCGTATTAGGAAGAGAGCATGAAAGCGGAAATGATGAGCATGAGGAGACGAGGGAGCAGGTGACAATTTACATGAATTATACAGCCGATCGTTTTGAGGTTCTACCGACCATATGTATTGCTTATTGTTGTGTTGACGTTTATGGATTGACGATCAGACGAATAGGGCGAGGAGGACAAATTGTGTGGACCAACATTTTACAATTTGGACATATATGCAAACGAAAGGATTCATTGTGACGCTAAGGATCATGTCTACTGACCTTCAATAAGTAAAGAAGACAGGTAAGGAAAGATGTTGTCCACAAGGCGAAACGATCATTATGAGTGACACCAATTTAGGGCGGAGGAAGGAGGATCAAGTAACGAGGTAGAAGGCGGCTGGGTGCAACAA